TCTCAGCCTCTCCTATGCCAGGTTCTCCAGGCCCCTGATCATCCTTGTGGCCCTTCTCCACTAAAATTTTACATCCAAAACACTTCCCCAAATTCTAACACTGTTCAAATGAACTCTGAAAACTTATCTATGTATTTAGGTATTTTTTCTGTACATAGATATTTGGATGTAAAAGTACTCTAATTTTTATCTGTAATAAAAATGTGAGCACAAATACACTTGTTCAGAATCTCAGAGTAATGGCTAACAGAATGGCCTTTTCCCTCCTTTTTAACAGTGATGACTCCTTCAGAAAATGAAAAGTCTTGCACGTAATAAAGACCAGAACATATTAGATCATTATCTTTCCCCCCCCCCCAGTTTATTTCCATGTGTTTATACAAAGCTTGGAAGACTCAGATGATAATTAAGGGAATACTGGATATGCAAGACTAGTATAGCAAAGACAAAACATGTATCTGAGGGCAAATTTAAACACCACATTCTGCATGTGAAAAAAAATCTGTATATGTGTAGTGGACTGGAATAATTTTGGTGGTAACATGCAAGGCTTGAAGCACTGTTTTTTAACCTTCACATTATTTTCTCTGACTTATTCAGTAAGGACCATGCTTCAGTGCATGCATTAGAAAAACTGGGTTCTGTCATTATGTGGCATGAATCCCGTCACTCTCGTCATCACCCTGAAGCTCAACCTTGTTGTTCCATAAAGAAAGTCTTATACTGGATTATTACAGAGTTGATTCTGGATAGAATTAATAAAAAGGAAAAAAAAGTGCTTCATCTGTGTATCTCATGTAAATTAAGACATCTGGTTGAACATCACCATTGTAGAACCACAGAAAATTCCAAAGCTCTGAAAAAGATTTCATTGCTTTTTCAATGCATAAAAGGAAGTTTAAGCTGCAGAAAGCAGCAAAAAGATCTCTGTCAATTCTGTGAGGCAGACGTTCAGAGAAGGGTTTGACAATTAGAACCTGAGACCTCAGCTTCAGTCTTTATCAATATTAGAAAACTGATTGTGATCGGTAAAATAGAAAGGACACTGGAAAATATTCCACCCAAGCCTGCCAGTATTTAATTAGAACAATGTTGAAACAGATATGTTTCTGAAAAACTCTATTTCAAGAAATCAGTATTTATCCAACTAGAAATAGTTTGTCTTAATGGAAAATTCTTAATAGTAATAACACAGTATCTACACTATCATTATCTGACTAATCAAAATAAACAACTTGATGAGAAGTGTTTTGAGAAAGAACTTTATCTCAACTGAGTTCTATTTACTGATAAGTTTTCACTTGTCCTGAGCTGTAGTCCTGCTTGTTGAAATACTTTATTTTAAGGTGAGTGACTCTTCAGCCTATGTTCAGCTTTTGTCTAGCTGAACTTATATCTTATCAAATTTATTTTGGAGCAAAAGTCTCATCTCAACAGCAATCTGACATGCTCACTGAAGATAAAGAACAACACTGCTGTACTGACACAAGCAGAGCTCCCCTAAGGCAAACGGAATAGTGTTTAATTGAATTGTGCTTCAGTCTTCACAAACCCTGGGGTTTTAAATCAAAATCAAATTTTTTTCTAGTTTTGATATCCCCCAACTCATTCTGTAAGATTTTCTGTGAGGATTTTTAAGAATAGTTTAAAAATTGTTTGAGAACAAACGGAGAACCTTAGTTTTTGGTTTCAATTCATGAAAATAGATTTTGAAAGTAAAGCAAAGCAAAGGAGGAACAGATGATCAATGATATTCTAAATAGTCATTAATTATGAATACGGTAAACGTATTTCTTTCTACAGCTTCGCACTTCAGTGGACACAAGTCTTTTTTACATTGAGTGAGAGTACAGCATCTTAGTGGATGCAAAGTAAGCTGATGGAGCAATGCTGCAATGATAGAAAAAAATATATCTATTTACTGAATTAGAACAAGAAAACACAATAAAATGCAGCTTTAAATATTTGAGATGCATTACAAAAACCAGAATTAACCAAGATGTAACCTGTAGAATTCTGGTTTTTTCAGTATTCACAGACTGCTCCTAGATTAGGGAAGAGTTAGCTTTGGGAAACAATGGTTTGCAGTTTTTAGCCAGACAGCCTTGTTTGAATTAATTCTTTCACTGCGTTGTTACCTTATTGACATCAGTTGAATTACTATCCATTATGGAGGCAAAAAAACACCAGTCAGTTCCTGCATAAATAGAATTGGTTAGAGAAAATATTAATTAATCACAAAAATAAGTGAGATTTTTGAGCTTTGACCTGCTTTTATAGAAGGATATCTGGTGTTTTAAAAGATAATAATTTTGCAATCTATCCACTACTCAAATAACTTTTCTCCATTATTCAGGTAGTATGCAAATTAGTTTTATAGTGAGACAGTAATGCAAATTCAGCCTGATTTATAGTTTAAAAATAGTTTCTGTTTTCAAAAACACTACATTCATTTTAACCAAGTATTATATGTCAAAAGAAAACCCCACAAAAACAATTAAATTTATTTCTTGTTAAGATCTGACTATTGGTAATTCAGAGTTAAAGTTGTCAAAAACCTAGCTGATGCAGTAAGTTTTTGGAAGACTGAGAGATTTGTAAGAATTTGAAAATATGAAATATTCTCTGCTCCTTGTATAAATGTTTGAGTCAGCTTTTTCCCCAAAAATGTAGGCTGAATAAATTCAGAAACACCAAGAAACTAAGTCCTGAGTTTAGAAAATTTATAAAAATAAGGTATACAACAAGTATACAAGACTGCTAACAAAGTAGATCTGGAAAACAATGAACAATACTTAGATTCACATGCTGCATGGCTGAAATTGGCAACAATAAGCTTGGCTGAAACAAGAAGCAATGTTAAAGGGACAAACTGTAGCTTATTGAATCCATATCTTAGTTTGACCTGTAAAACGGTGATCAGGTCAGAGTGATTTAATCAGAAGACTAAAACCCCTACTATTCTTTATGTTTAATCTCTGTTAAGAAAAGCTAGAACACTCCACACCAATCCAAAGCTTTTTTAAACTGTAGTACATAAAATAATAAGCTATAAACATCATACCACTTTATTTCTATGACAAAAAAAAAGGACTGGAGCACTGTAGGAGTTTTTAACTGTATTAATAAAAGGGGAAAAATATAACACTGCAACTATATTGGGAACATAATTTAAAAAATGCTTGTAAACATTGCCTAATGTACAAAAAGCACTAAAATGCAGTGTTATTTTAGTGACTGAAACAGAAAAATGAATTTTTTTCAAATCTGAAAAGACAGTTTTAATAGCTTCACTGAAATGCTATCCCACATTTTTCACATAGTTTTCATTTGTAATCACCAAAATGATAAATATTGGATAATTAGTGATTCATAAAATGGAAATATATTGTTTGTTGCACAGAAAAAAATGTTACTTTGGCTGAAATGTGTCCTGATATAACACCATCTCTGCAACTTTATATCAAAAACCTAATTTGACCATTTGAACTTATTCAAAATAAGAGGGTAGAAAAGAAACTATAGAAGTCTAAAACTGAAAAAGCACTAGAAAATCTAACCTGCCACAGAAAATACATTAAATTCTCCTGAGGATTTTTTTTTTTCTAAATACCTGTTTAAAATCCTGGTGATACAACGCTGCTGCTCTGTTTAGTTGAAGTGACAGTCTTTTCTCTTGCAAATGTGAGTTAAGAGTTCTGCCTTCCTCTCTGATCTGATAGAAATTTTGTTAGATAAAACATTGCAGGAGATGCAAATCTGTATTTTTGTTGTATTATAAACTTAGAATTTTATGACCTCCACTAAATAGAATAAATTTCATCTTTGATTAGCAAGCAATGCATTACTGTCAGCTTTAACAGAAATAACAGGAAAAAGCACTTGGAATCTGTCTTTTTTGAGACAATGCAAGCTTAACTTTTTCTCCTACATATGCTAGCTTGGTGTTAAGTACATGTCACCCTCTTCCATCTCTTTCACCACTGGAAACTTTTTCAGCACCCCTCACATCAGATTAATTTATTCACCAATAAAGCTTAATTAGAATTATTTTCATGCTAGAACACAAAGGATTAGGAAGGAAACATTCTCCTTGCTTTAACCTTGAGCTGTAGAAGAAGGTATTGTTACCTAATTCAGGCATCTAAATTAGGTTCAGTTACTGGATTCCCACTGTAGCTAATGTAAGGAGATAATTCAGAGAAGAAGCTGAATTTTGAGTCTTATTTTGCTCCTCTGAAGAAACTCTTTCTCTGTGAGCTAGAATGGGACAGCAGTGAAAGCTGATTCTGTATGTCACTTTCAGTACTGGATCCATGTAGCTGTGACCCTCTGACACAGCTCCTGGCTTTCCAGACTGGCCCTGGCTTTTCATGAATCAATGTTATTGATGAATGGCCTCCAGCAGGAGAAATCTTTTATCCTCTGTTTTCTGTGAAGGTTTTAAAATTTCAGTAGTAAAAAAGATTGCCTTAAAATTGTATTGAAATTTTTTTTTATATATATTTGTTTTAAACATCTCTCCCCCCTTCTCAGCTCCCAATCCACAATATTTTCTGCATCTACAAGGTTTTCCAAAATTGAAATTGTTTACTGAGATAAACAGGTAATTCCATTTCTCTTCTGACACAGCTAACTTAGATGGCCAGTTTAAATGCATCACACCTCAGAAGAAAGTCTGTGTCACATGAGTTAACTAAGTAAAGACATTTTAATGGGGGGAAGAGGGGAGGAAAAAAATTTATCCACAAAAATCAAACTAATTCATATTATTTACTCTGTACATTGTTGAGGGGTTTTTTTAAATTGAAAACAATGTTGATCTTTCCTAAAGAGCAAGATTTCTTATTTTTGTTCAAACATGGAAAACACTCATTTAAATGGGCTTAAGGCCTTTAGTTGTCATTCTTGTTAAAATTTGTTGGTTTTTGCTTTAGGCTGTCACATTCTGGAATGTTCTGTGAAAAAGGTATTTTTGTCAGGTCTGTGTTCTTTCTTGGAATAACGTCTGCAAATTTTACATACTTGAAACTCTGATCTATTTAATTATTCTCCTACTTTAATTAATAGATAGATAAAGACACCCTTTACAAAAAAAAAAAAATCCTATGCTCCTGACTTCTTCAATCACGATCTAAATTTTTCCCATTAATCATACCAAATACATTTTATTAAAGATCTATATTGTACAGAGAAGTGTTTAAATTCTGTCTCCGTACCACAAAATCTTACTACCACAGTTTTCAAAATGCAATTATCAGACACCACCTACTTGAGGATCATTTCATCTTAGCAGACCTTGTTAATTACATTGTAATAGGGAAAAAAAATTGTTTTAAAATTGATGAATTCCATCACCATTACTTACAGTTACAAGATTAAAGGATGTAATTATGAAATTAATTCACCTAACCATTATAAGTACTAGTCAATAAGTACCCATTCAGATTAATTTACTGAAATGCTTTTGTGTATTTATGTTAGTGAGAGGCAACTGTGTGCATATTGGCTGGTTGCGGTTTAGCTTTCCTTATGAGTGTGTAATTTATTTCCTTGAGCTTCTCTGCAAAGCTTTCAAATGTGAAGTGCATTAAAAACATTCAAACTTCAGCTGGAGATTATGGACTGCAAATAAAAGATTCAGTTGCTCTAGGGGTTTGGCCACACTTGCAGTCTTAGAAAATAAACTAAGTAAAGCCTGCAACCCAGATTACAGGTTACAGAATAGACACCTGCAAGCCTGCAATGCAGCCCCAGTGTAGAATCACCCTGAAAATACACCATTTTCGGCTTCAGACTATGCCCATTGCTTCCCTTGCTTATCACTTCAGGTCCATAAAGAATCTTTTGACAATCTGAAGATTTCTGCAAGAGATTTGTCATGCCTACTCTGATTTTATCCTGCTTTTTCTATGCATCACAGGTAATTTATTTTCACCAAGCTACCCATATATGACACAAAATATCTTATACTTCGCTAAATTGTTTCTTCCAAAAAGCTGTGCTGTCTTGGTACAGAATTTGATCTTCTGATAAGTTACCTTTATTATTACAACTGTGTGCCTACATTCTCATCTGAATTTGTCTGCCTTTCATTGTCTTTTATTCTGCTGTTCTTTACATAAATGTCCCATGTTTTCAGCCCCTTTGAGGTATCTATGCACCTCAATCATGTTATTTTTCAATCTCCTTTTTGATAAACTAAGCAGTTTGAGCTCTTAAAATCTCCTATTGTAAGAAAATTTCCCTAAATCTCATGATTTAGTGTCTTTGTTCAGTACCTTTCATAATGCTTTAATGTTCTTTTAAAACTTGGATGTGGAATTTGATGCAATGTCACAGAATTGGTCTCATTAATACCATATAAAATAATAATTTATCCTAATGGTCTTACTCAATTTTTCACTCTTT